CTCTGTGTGCTGGCTCGCCGCTGCTTGCGCCCTGCGTTTCCTCTTTTTTGCCTAAAGTGCTCCAAGCACCGATTTCACTTCTCTTTCCCCCAACCCTTGCCCCGGCCTCTTACTCCTTCCATTTCCCCTTTTCAGCTCTTCCCCTTTTGCTTCATTTTTCTGCCAGGCTTTGGGTGTTCAGGCTCTTCTACATGCTGCCGGCCAGGTTGGGAAGCACCTCTGGACCTTCCCTGCCTTTGCCCCCTGATTTTTGCCCAGCAGCGCCTGGTACCCGCCCTCATGCCCCGAGGATGCTCCTTGCTCCCCTGCCAGCTCTACCCCCCGTGGGATTTAATACCGGCCTCATAGCAGCAACCCAAAATACTGTGCTCTGCCTGCTAAAAAAAAAAACAAACTCAAACGCATCTCAAAGCCTCAAAAGCAATGGAGCTGGACAAAAGCAAAAAACAAAAGCAATGGACCCCCTGCAGGGTCCCTGTCGGGCTCTCCCCATCCTGGCGCCCGCGGGCACGGGCACCCTGAGCTCGTTCTGCCTGCCGTGGCACCGAATTAAGGCAAACGGCACCGTTTTCATCATTGCAACCACGGCACTGTTGAGCTGCCGCCCATCTTTCTTCCTCACCCAAACGACTGCTGGGCGCAGGCCCGGCCCCGCGTCCCGCTGCCTCCCAGGGCGCTCCCTGGCTGGGGAGCTGCGGAGCCGGGGGGGTTTCCCAGCCGTGATCGCGCCCCCGGTGAAGCACCACTGGAGGGAGCCGCGGAGCCGGGGGGGTTTCCCGGCCGTGATCGCGCCCCCGGTGAAGCACAACTGCAGGGAAAACTGGGGCGGTGTTTCAATGAAGGCGTTTGTCCCCGATTTGAGCTGGGCCACGTGTTTCTGTACTGAGTGAAGAAATACTTCCCCCCCCCGACCTTGCAGCCCCGGGGGTCCCTTTGGCCCTGTGCAACATCCGAGCGCGGCTCCCTCAGTCCACAGTTCGGGACGATCACGTGCGGGGGATTTCGCCAGTCCTCGGGCGGAGGGGAAGCTGTTTTGGGGCTGAAATCCCGGGGTGAGAGGCCAAGCATGGCAGGCCAGCTCTCAGCCCCGCTTGGCCTCCCAGCGCAGCCTGCTCCCCGGCCGTGCCTCAGTTTCCCCAGTGGTA